GCTCCAGCGGGGCACCCGAGGTCTTGTGGAGGGCGGCCAGGGCGCGGCCTCGGGGGGCTGATTGGGCGCAGCCGCAAGCCTTGCAAGGGAGGGCGAGGATGAGGATGGAAGAGGAGGCTGGACAGCCCGCATGCATCGTCGCCACTGATTTCGGCGCGCCCCGCACACGTTTCGTGGCCCCAGAGGAGCTCCGCCGAAGGTCCCAGTGGCGCAGCCCGCAGGCGTCCCCGCCACCCACTTTGACACATCGCTCACACGCTCTGTGGCCCCACCATAGAAGCTCCACCGAAGGTCCCAGTGGCACAGCCCGCATGCGTCCCCGCCACATACTTCGGCACACCCCGCACACGTTTCGTGGCCCCATAGGAAGCCCCACCGAAGGTCCCAGTGGCGGTACCCACATGCGTCCCCGCCTTCAATTTGTGCACACCCTGCACACGTTTCGTGGCCCCATAGGAAGCTCGACCGGTAGTCCCAGTGGCGGTGCCCACATGTGTTCCCGCCACCCATTTCGGCATACCCTTCACATGTTCGTGGTCCCATAGGGAGCGCCACCGAAGGCCCCAGTGGCGCAGTCCACATGCGTCTCCGCAACACATTTCGGCACACCCCTCACACGTTTCGTGGCCCCAGAGGGAGCTCCACCGATGGCCCCAGTGGCGGTGCCCACATGCGCCCCCGCCACCCATGTGTGCACAGCCCTCACGCGCTTCGTGGCCCCATAGGGAGCTCCACCGAAGACGATACTCACAACTGCGTTGCTCACAACTGCATATGGTTGGGTCCTTCGCCAGGCAAGTTTGTTGTAGTTCTCGTCCTCGTTGCCATTGCCGTCCCTTTCCTCCGTTCTCCTCCTGCTTCTTTTTTTCCCTTTTCTTACCTGCTCCCTCTCCCTCCTCCCCCTCTCTCTTTCCACCATCTTGGGTCGCCTACGGGAGGTTCGTATCGTGTCGACGCGGCGGCGATCCTGCCGCAGGCGTTCAATGTTGAACGCCGCCACCGGCCCATAATCGGCGATCGTTCAAGCTTGAACGATCCACATGGTGTCAGAAACCATCGCCGGGGCCGTCACGACACGAACCGTCGGCATCCTCCTCCTTCCCTCCTCCCTGTCCTCCCTTCTCTTTTCCCAGTCGGGGTCCCTTCGACTGCCCCAGGGGGGGAGGAGGCTTCTCTCTGCCCCCCCCCCGCCCGCCAGAGGGGTGCGAGCAGGAGGCGCCTGTGCCCTCCGCCTGCGGACGAACACCGCGTCCGACCTCGTGCGCTCTCCGCCCCTCCCTCCCGGCAGGCCTGGCTCCGTCCACTGGCGCTCCCCCGCGCGCCCCTCGCGTCGAGGGGGCCCCGGCGCCTCCGCATCCGCCTGCCTGCCCTCGAGCGCGGCACGCGAACCGTCGGCATCGCCCCCCCCCCTCCCTCCTGGCAAGCCTGGCGCCTCCCCCTCGCGCTCCCCCCTTTGGCCCCCCGCGCCGAGGGAGCCCCCTGCAGGTCGGTCCTGCCCCTGCCCCGAGCGCGGCGCAGCCCGTTCTGCTCGTGCGCGCCGTCTCCTTTACCCAAGACGCCGCCCGTCTGGTCCCCGGTTCCCGCGGAAAGCGCCCAGGCCGCGGCCGCAGGGTCGAGCGTCGCCCCTTTGCCAGCCTGGTACAGACATGCAGCTAGAGCGCGAACGCGAAACAAAGAAAGTCATTGGTCGGCAACTTCTCTGCAGACGATGGGACCGCGCGTTGCTCACAGGTTGCCTCGCCCCCAGACCCCCTTGGCGCCGTGGAAGAGCCACGACGCAGGGGCTTTGGCTCTTCTGGGACTCTGGGGCCCCTTAATCAAGGCCTCGGGGGCCGTCGAGACAAGACTCGGGATGAACGACCGGCCCCATGGTCCATCGCCGGAATCTGTCCACTTCCACCGCTTCGGAGTCGTGCCCTGAGATCTCGAGGAACGGTGGATATGGATATCGGCCCGCCCGAGTGGGCGGGCAGATATCCATATCCACCGCCACACGAGTCCTCGGAACACGACCCAGCGGCAATGTATATGGTCATATTCTGGCGGCGCTCATGGGAAGGGGTCCAGACCTTTGGGGGTCCACGTTAAGTTCTTAAATTAGCCTGGCGAGGGCAGAGGCAGGGGTGGGAGGAGGGAAGAGCGGGAGGAGGAGGAGGAAGGTGAGGTGGGACGTGGGGCGCTGTCTCCTCAAAACGAGGACCCAACTCCACAGGATGGTTTGGGAAAACCACGACGTCGGGGATCTAGCGCTTCATCGAAGTGAACGACGGGCATCTGCAGATGCCATCTAGGTATCGAGATCTGTCTCGACACTCTGCTCGGTGAAAATGGAGTATGAGGTGCCCTGGGGAAGAATGGGATATATGGTGCAGGATGGTAGGATTGTCGCGAGCGCGCCTGGCGTTCCCCCCCACCTCGACAGTGACTCATTCTGAGTACTGCTCCCTCCTCCCCTGGCAACGTCTGGACGTTGTTTCGCCCTTCCCCCGTCTTTTGTTTCCACACGCGGGAAATGTCAAGGGTTTTGTTTGTTTGTGTGTTTGTTTGCTTGTTCGTTTGTTTATTTCTTTCTGTGTGTGTGTGTGTGTGTGTCTGTGCGGGTTTGTATGTGTGTGGTATGTGTGTTTGTTCGTTTGTTTGTTTGTTTGTTTGTTCGTTTGTTTATTTGTTTGTTTGCTTGCTTGTTTGTTTATTCGTTTGCTTGTTTTTTTCGTGTGTGTGTGTGTGCGTTTGTATGCGCGTGTGTATATATATGCACATATGTGTGTGTCTGTGTGTGTTATAGCAACCTAGAGACCAGTGTACGTCCTCTTCGACGGGCTGCGGCGTTGGCCACATCCCAGGATCATTACCCGTGCCGTCGATCGGACTGGCGCCCCCGCCCCAACACCCGCCAAACTTCTGGACCGTATTCCTCCTCCGTTCCTTTCCTGCTGCTCCGCATGGTCCTACCCCCCCGCTTCGCCTCCTGCCGCTGCCCCTCCTGCTGCTGCTGCTGCTGCTGCTGCTACTCCTCGTCCTCCCCTTCCTCCTCGTCCTCCTCTTCATCCTTCATTTCCTCTGGCCCCTCCTTGTCATCTGCCTCATTATCCTTCTTCTTCTTTCCTCCTCCTCCTCCTCCTCCTCCTCCTCCTCCTCCTCCTCCTCCTCCTCCTCCCCCCTCCCCCCTCCCCACCGTAAGCCCATTCCTTGCCGATCGTATCGCAGACGGTGCAACAAACCCTGCAGCTGCCACTTGGGGTCAAGGTTGTCTTGGGCGCCACATTCGACGGACAGTAAAGGATTCAACGCCAGGGGAATGTATGACTGGGAGGAATATGATGTAGGATGTGGCACGAGCGCGCCTAGCTCCCCCTCTCCAGTCACCCTCCCTGCTGTGCAGCCATTACTCATGAGCGTTATGGTTTTCTCTCTCCCTTGACAGCATGCGGGTTTGAATTCCACCCTCCCGCGTATTTTGCACATGGCTCCAGGCAGACTGTTCGGATCAGCGTGCCATTCGAATCAGAGTGTCTTCCGTCCCTGAAAATTAGCACTCCAGCTGCAGTGTTGGCCACACTCCAGCTCCAGGTCGCGAAGAGTAGGAGGATGCGGAGAAGGAGGAGGAGGAGGAGGAGGAGGAGGAGGAGGAGGAGGAGGAGGAGGAGGAGGAGGAGGAGGAGGAGGAGTAGGAGAACGTGGAGGTGGATACGCAATCTGGGAGTCCTCCAAGATATAAGCAGGTGCATTCTGCAGTGGTGCACGTGGTTTTCGTCATTTGGAACGGCTCATCTAAATCCGATTTCCTCTTCGCCTTTGCCGCTCCCTGCTTGTCCCTCCGCCGTTCCCCCTCGTGCCGCTGCTCGTTTCCTTTACACGGCCATAACAAAAAAAACCCTTCCTGCCGATCGTACAGCAAGGGACTACTCAAGTCCTGCACCTGCGCCTGCCATTTGGAATCAAGGATTACTGGACATCCCACTCGGCGGATGGACGGGGACTTACAATGAACAGAGATGGTTGGGAGGTCTCGGATCTGTCAGATGTGGCGAAAGCGCTGCAGACATGCCCATCTCGTGGCCCGTTTTCTCCTGCATGCTGATTCTCAGCCTATGGGATTTCAGAAGGCGTTCTTTTGGCATGTATCTTACGATCGGATTGTTCCCGATGTCTCATAATGGTGTTCCCGCTGCAGAGTTGGCTTTGCTCGCGCCGTTCGGAATGGCGCTCTCGCCCCATCGCGGGCCACAATTCTGGGTCAAAGCCCCTCATCGCCGTTGTCGCCCCGCTCCATTCCTCTCCTCCGCCTTCAACTGGTCCTCCCGCTTATCTCACTCCTCCTACTCGTGCTCTTGCTGCTGCTGTTCGTTCTCGTCCTCGGCCGTCCTGATCTTCATCTTTTTCCTCCTGCTCATCCTCTTGCTCATCCGCAACCTCCACTTTTTCTTCCAATGTGGACAGTTCCCCTTGTCTGACCGCGCATGACGGACGCTACCTGGTCTTTTTGAGGGTTTCAGGTCCACCATGACTATAGACAACCATAGCGCAATGAGACAAACTTAGCGGAATGGGAAGGGATTGGTGGGAGGGGTAGCGTGTCAGATATGACGCGAGCGCACCTCGCTTGCCCGCCTCCACTCTCCCCTCCCCTCCCCGCCGCCCCCCCTTCCTCCCTCCGCTTGCCTGGCCGAGCAGTGGCACGTGCCCCTGGGGGGGACATTCGCCATGCTGGGTTTCTGTGCTCGCGGCGCTCGCAGGGAGAAGGATGGGGATGAGGAGGAGAAACGAACGGTACAGTCGGGGCCCTGAGGAAGGAACCCTTCTCGTTAGGGAGGGGCTCCGTGTTCCTTCATTGTTTTGTAGTTCGCCTTTGGTTTTGCTTAGGGTTTCGACGGGAAAGCGAAGTTCAACTTATGGGAAAAAGGGGCCTCGTTCCTTATTTAGGGTTCCTTAGGTCAACGCCCCGACTGTACCATGGGGGCAGCGGAGGAGGGCAGAGAAGGGAGCCGCGGCGGCCCCAGGCGATCTGTGCAGCGCGCACGCCCACACCACGCAGCTCCTGGCCCAGTGCCCGCGCCTCCTGGCCCCGCTCCTCTCGGCGCAGGCCTCACCACCCACCAAACCACCCCAACCCAACCCGAAGGCTCAGATTTACCCTCGATTTCCAGTGGGGGGGGGGTCGGGAAAAGTAGAAAAAACACGTGTGGAACCCTTACCCCCCCAACCCGAAATTCGGTTCTTCGGGTTGGGTTGGGGTGGTCTGGTAGGTCGTCAAGGCCTGCGCCGCCGAGTGCGTGAATTGTGCTGGCAGCGTGGTCCATCCGGCTCGAGGTCTATGTCACGGCAGAAGCGGCAGTTTTCGGAGCCCCGCGCGGATGTCTTGGATCTGTGCTGTGCCCCCCCAGGGAGAGCCTCCGTCGCCGCCCGCGGAGGGGGGATCCAGCGCCGATCCAACAAGTCTGCGAGGAGTGCCGAACGTTCATGTTCATCATGTTTCTCGTTCTTCCACTGTTGATGGCATGATCCATCACGCTCGAGGATTTGTGAACATACAGGCGGCTCGAGCCGTGCATCCATTCCCGCCGCTGGCTCAAAGTATTTTTTGGCGTTGCCAGATCCTCGTTGCTTCAGGGATCGACTGTCCTTACAGTCGAGGCCCTGAAGAAGGAACCCTTTGGTTGGGGAGGGGCTCCGCGTTCCTTAAGTGTTTCGCAGCTTGCCTTGGATTTTCCTTAGGTTTTCGATACGAAATCGAAGTTTAACTTCTGGAAAAGAGGGGTCTCGTTCTTTATTTAGGTTCCTTAGGTCAACGCCTCGACTGTACTTCAGGGATCGACTGGCCTTCGTTTCTCCTTCCTTTCCGGGGGGGGGCGGGCCGACATCGGAGTTGCTTCCAACGCCCTCGAGGCTCGTGCTTCTGCCCACGTTTTCCGCCGACCGCACGGGTGCACTCCGCTCTTGCGGCTGGTCCCTGGCGCAGGGGCCCTAAACCTTATCTTGACGAACGAACAACACACACCCATACCCATAGGGGGGTCGTTGGGAGGAGGACTGGCTGTGGGTATGGGTGCGGGTTGTCGGACCCTGGGGAACGCTCCCGTTCGAGCGGGGACCCCCATTCGACAGCACGCACCCATAGCCCTCTCCGATCCCCCTATGGGTATGGGTGTGTGTCGTTGGTTCGTCATCTCTCGCCGGCACAGGGAGGGCACGGAGGAGCGGCCACGTCTCGAAGCACCGGGCACTGAGCCGCGGGGAGCTCTGCGGCACATCGCTTCTTCCCCCGCTGCCGCGGTCCAGTGGCCAGCTCCCCTCCGCAGAGGTGGTCCGCGGCCCCGGTGGTTGCGTCCAGGGGCGGCGGGGAGCGTCCTTGGCCCGATGATCCACGGACACATAGGCATGAATTGTCGGAGGTCCGCGCGGATTTCTCGGATCGGCGCCAGGGGCGGCGCCGGAAGCGCCGCCAGGGGGGCCCAGCGCCGATCCTAGAAATCCGCGCCGACCTCCGACAGTTTATGTGTCTATGGTTGTTTTTTCGTTTCTCAATGCGCGGCCCCGTGCTGCTCGGCGCCCAGTAGTCCGGTGCTGCGCGGGGGCGAAGGGAGCTCCAGGGGGGCGCCATGGCTGCCCAGGGACGCCCCGGGAGTAGGGGCGGTGCGCGCGTCGAGGTGCGGGGGGGGTGTCCCTCAGAAGACTGCAGAGACCTTGCCAGACAGCACTGCGCACTCTACCACGTCTCAACGTGCCAGGGGGCACGGTGGCGGACACATACGCCTGCATATACCTATTTGCATATATGCATGTCTGTTTGTATCAACACTGTATATTTGTACGTCTGAATGTGTATATACAAAAATGAATTCATGCATATATATATATATGTATACCTATACGACCACCCTTCGGGTGATAAGGAGGTTCGGGGCGGGGAGGAACCAACGTCTCACTCGATCGGTCTCACTATCGATCTCACTATCGATCTCAGTATCGGTCTCGTCTCGCTCGATCGCTCGATCGATCGATCTCACAATCGATCTCATCGAACTCGATCTCACTCGATCTCACTCGATCATCACTCGATCATATCATCATCACTCGATCATCATCATCGCATCATCATCATCATCATCATCATCATCATCATCGTCATCATCATCATCATCATCATCATCATCAGCATCAGCATCATCATCATCATCATCATCATCATCATCATCATCATCATCATCATCATCATCATCATCATCATCATCATCATCATCATCATCATCATCATCATCATCATCATCATCATCATCATCATCATCATCATCATCATCATCATCATCATCATCATCATCATCATCGCGGGCACCGCGGGACACCGGCGGGACACCGCGGGGCACCGCGGGACACCGCGGGACACCGCGGGACACCGGCGGGACACCGCGGGCCACCGGCCGCCCGGAAGGGAGACATTTGGTCCGGCCGCGCCTCAGCCACACGGGACACCAGCGGGACACCGGCGGGACACCGCGGGCCACCGGCCGCCCGGAAGGGAGACATTTGGTCCGGCCGCGCCTCAGCCACAGGAGACTTTCTTCTCGCCCGCCCACGCAGCTTCGCCTCGCCCGCACGCACGGCACGCACGAACACGAAACCGAAATCGATTTCCCGGTAGGGGGGCTCTCCGTTCCACTTCGATCTCACCCCCTCACCTCCGATATGTACACATGTGTGTGTGTGTTTACGTATATGTGTATCTATGTGTATACGTATATGTATATGTTATGGCGAGGCATATGCACATGTGTATGTTAATGATCTTGCATCTGTGTCTGTATATGTATGTGTATATGTCCACGTAGGTGTGCATCAAACATTGTGTATATGTGTATGTATATGTACGAGTATACGTACATACGTGTGTATATTCGCATGCACGCATGTATACGTATATGTATATCTACACTAAATGTGCAATAAATATACACATGTGTATTTACATATATATATGTATGTATATATGTATGTATGTATGTATGTATGTATGTATGTATGTATCTATGTATATGTAGGTGTGTGTGTGTATATATATATATATATATATATATCCATGCACGAGGCCCGAGCGCCCAGGGCCCTGGCCACGGGAGGGCATGGGAGGACCGGGGTTTCCCAGACCGCTCCCAGAGCACCCAGGAGCGGCCCTGGAGCTCCCAGATTGCCCCAGAGAGCTCCCAGAAGCCCTCGGGGACTTCGACAAGCCCCTCCAAGACAGCCCAGATAGCCCCAACGTGGCCCAAGTTGGGTTCGATACCGCAAATACACAGCCCAAGAGGCCTCCAAGCGGCCTTAAGAGAGCGAGCTCCGAGAAGAATCCCGAGAGAGCCCGAAGAGGCCCAAATCATTTATTTTATTTGTTTTTCTATGTTTTTCGGCTTCTCGCGTTTTCGACCTTCCGACGTTCCAAGACGGCCGACGACGTTTTAAAGACCGCCCCAAGACCGCCGAAGAGGCCCCCAAAAGAGCCCCGAGATGACCCCAGGGAGTTTGAAAATTGCCCAGGAGGAGCCCTACATGGCCCAAGAGCCTCAGGACAGGCCCAGGCTGGGCTACAGACCGCGAGCGGGAGGCGCCAAGCCGCTCCCAGACGGCCCAGATGGGCCCAACACGGCAAATACACAGCCCAAGAGGCCTCCAGAAGGCCTCAAGAGAGCGCCGAGAAGCATCCCGAGAGAGCCCGAAGAGGCCCTACTCATGGATGTGCATCGGTTTTTAAATATTTCTAGACGGCCCAGAGGGCCCCAATGTGGCCTCAGATGGTCCCAACACGGCAAGTACACAGCCCCAGAGGCGTCTCTCGAGAGCCCGAAGAGGCCCAAATCATTCGCTTTCTCGCGTTCTCGAGCTTCCACTCCAACTCGTTTTCGTTTCCTCTGCGTGGTTCTCTTTTCACTCCCGTTTTCGTCATGTCATCATTGGTGTTATTCTTGGACAGAGCTGTGGAGCTCATCCCGTCCTGCTCCTCCACACCCTCTCCTCCCTCCTCTCCGTTGCCTCCTGTTCTGACTACGCGTTTCTTTGCGTCGATGGCATGGGCCCGAGAACGCTGAAAATCTTCGTTGTGGCCACAACGGGGCTTACAGCGGCACCCTTGGCTCATCTGCGACTAGAACCTAAGCGCGCGTAGCGCGCGTGGTTCTAGTACATTTTCACATATATATATGTATGTACATATAGATATACTTGTGCATGCGTCGGCAACTGTATATGTATAGGTCGATGACTATGTACGTGCGCACCTGTTTGCATATGTGTATGTATCGGGATATGCATGTATGTACATGTAAGCATGCAGGATCATTTTTCTACACATGTATGTGAATGCCTAGCTGTGTGCTTATGTATGTATATATATATGTATATAGATGTGTGTCTATGTGTATCCATACGTATATGTATATTCATACGTATAGGTGCGTGCATGTGTGTGTATACATATGTATATGTATATGTCTATATATGAGCATATGTATGTGTGTGTTTATGTGTATGCATTTGCATTTTCGGATGTAGTTGTATATGTGCATATCTAAATGTATGCAATGTATTTGTAGTTACATATGCTCATGCATTCGGATGTATATGTGCACTATTGTCTTTATGTGTATGTATAGATACACGTACATGTATATGTATATGTATCGGTATGTGTATATTTCTATTGCGTTGTAGTGGTACATGTATATGTATACTCACATGTCTGTGTGTAGGCCTATGTCTATGTATATGTACGCATGGACACATGCAATTAACCATGCGTATGTGTATGTATGTATGTTGCATACACGTACGTACGTACGCATGTATGTATGTACGCAGGTATGTATGTATTTATGTCTGTATGTATCCGTGCACGTATACGTGTATATGTACATAGGTATCCATGCATATGCACGTCTGTGTATGCATACATGTATACATGCATATCTGTAGATATGCGTAGATGTATAGACATATGGGGTATATGCATGGAGCCCCCTGGACCCAGGGCTTGGCACCTCCGGAACATCCAGGCGCATTTTGAAATACGTCCCAGCTTCGCATCCAGGAGCCCCCAAGGCGACCCGGGAAGGCCACCAGACAGTCTACGATGTAATGCAATGCGGTCAAGATCGTCCCAGATTGCCTCCGAGATGGCACAAGCGCGCCCACGATGACTCAGGGTAGTTACCCAGATGCCTCCAAGAGGCTTCAACACCGCCCCAAGGCGGTTCCAAGTGGCTACAGAGCTCCCTTCGAAAACCCCTGAGAGGCCAACTTTATTCGAATACGAAACACATAGATAGTTTTGGCCCTTTCGCCCCCTCTGGCTCACTTCGGGCACACGTTGACCCCAGCATGGACCAAGAGAGCCCCAAGAGGAGCCCAAAACGGGCCCAGCACCGCCCCAAAGACATTTAAGACCATCCCATGATGGCCTGCAGAGGGCCTCAGGACGACCTGAGGGACTTCCAAACCAGCCCCAAGAAAGCCCAGGGAGGCTCCCCAGACCGTAGACCGCATCAGTTTCCGAGTCGCTCTCGTCCCCTCTGCTCTACCACGCTAGCCGTTTGTAAGGTCCTACGCGACATGCGTGAGCTGGGTGGTCTAGCTATCACGGTATCGCTAATGACAGATGCGGAATCTTCTTACCTGACGTACCTTACTAGGTCACAATGGTTGGATACGTGAGCTCATGGGCTCACGGACTCGGGTCTTGTGTATAATGTACAGTGGTGTAACACGCGTGATTTGTCTTTTGATGGTCATACGACGAGAAGCATTGATCGGGACCTCATCTTGGAAGTAGTGTCTTGGGAACAATATTTCAATCATGATGTCCAGTCATCTATGCGAAGCCAGAAGACCCTAGTACCAAGTGCTGAGTTTGTATACTCACTTGGGCGATCTTGTTTTTTTCCGAGGTCGCCACAGCCGTTGCAAGCGCCTTTTCTTGGGGCGCACAGTTAACGTTCGAAAGCGAGCCGTACGCGAGCGCCTACACCCGTAGACGCATTCCGAGTGCTCGGGAACGAGCGGCGTTCCCGACATTTCGCTTGAGAACGAGTCTGATCTACGTGCGCGGTGTGCGATGCAGTACAGTGAGCGGCTTGAATAAGGAACACTTGCTTTTCAAAAGGGGCTCGGCCGTTCCTTAGGTTTGCATGCGTTATTCACAGTTCCTTATGCGCTATTTGTTATTTATCGTTCCTTATGCGTTATTCCTTGGGATAAAAGAGGGGCTTCGTTCCTTATTTATCGTTCCTGAGGTCAACGCCCCGACTGTATATGCATCGGCATGCCACCATGCGCTTTATCATGTAGGCACTGCTGTATTTGTTCTGGCCGTGCTGCGTCGGTGAGAGCTCTCCTGGGGCCTGGCCTGGGGCCTATTGGCCTCCGATGCTGGCGCGGTGTTCGGGGGTCCTTCTCCTCCTCCTCCTCCTCCTCCTCCTCCTTTCCGTGCCCCGTCAGTCCTTGGTATCTCTGGGGGGTGACCGGATGAAGCCAGGGCCACTTCTTTCGGGGCGCGACGCGCTTTTCATGCGCTTCTGCTGTGTACAGTCGGGGCCCTGAAGAAGGAACCCTTTTCGTTGGGGAGGGGCTCCGTGTTCCTTGATTGTTTCGCAGCTTGCCTTAGATTTTCTTTAGGTTTTCGATACGAAATCGAAGTTCAACTTATGGAAAATAGGGGCCTCGTTCCTGATTTAGGATTCCTTAGGTCAACGCCTCGACTGTACGCCTGGAACCAGCGGGGCACAGAGTGCAGCGCTGTCTCCTCCCTCCCCGACTTCAAAGGGAAGCGTCGTGAGAGGCACGCACACAGGCGCGATCCTCGGTCACCATCGGCGGAAGGCGTGCGCACCTCGTTTGACAGCCAGCATGCCTGCCGGGACCATCTGAGAGTCGAGGTCCCCGTCCTGCTCACCTCTCACACCACAGCCCACAGTGCTGTCTGCACTTGCTGTCTGGCGCATGGAGCGTGCGGGGTGTGGCCCTGCCACGTTGCTTCCGACCGCCTGGCCGCCGCGCGCGCCGAGGTACGCGCGCCCCCCCGCGCCCCTCGGGTGGCCTCCCGCGGGCGGCGAGCCGCGGGCGCCAGGCTGCCGCCAGCCGTGCCGGCCGGCGCCTGGCGGCTCGCCGGGCGGCTCGCCGGGCGACTCGCTTGGCGGCTCGCCGGGCCCCAGGCGCGAGAGCCTGCTGAGGCCTCGCGGGCAGGGGCGTCTGTGGTTCAAAGATGGGGTCCTGAGGGATGGGGTCCCAAGGGCGAAGTTCCTCGAACTATGTGAATTCACCCTTGGATCCCTTCCCATCCTTGGGGCCCCATCCCTCAAGACCCCATCTTTGAACCGCCGAGGGGAGGGCGGTGGCGGGCGGGCTTCGGCATCGGTTGAAGGGAGGGAAAGAGGATCTGATCAGAGGAGGAGAGGGTGCCGATGCGGTGGGAGCGTTCGTCGGGGAATGGGCCCAGGAGGTTTCAGACCCTGGAGGATTCCTTGTCTGATGATCACCGTGCCCCTACCCTTCCCTTGTCACCAAGGCTGGGTTCGCGTTGAAGTCCTGGTCTAAACGTGGAGGGGTCCGTGGAGTAACAGTATGGGTAATCGAAGACGCCTGCGGCAAATTTCTGCCGCCCCCTGCCCTTTTGGAAGCGCCTATGTGGCCGAACGTTGAGGCCAGACCTGCCAAGCTATCGGACCATGTGTTCCCAGAATCGGTTTGGAAAGCCTTCGGGGAACACGTGGGCATCTTGAAGGTCATCTTGGCCGTGTGGAGGCCATTCTGACCCTTTCGGGCCTTCTTGGAGGACGTCTTGGAGGGCTCTTGGGCCGTCTTGGAGGCCATCTTGAGCGTCTTGGAGGCCTCTTGGGCAGTCTTTGAGGCCTCTTGGGGCCGTCTTGGGCCTCTTGGGCGATCTTTGGGGGCACTTGGGCCGTCTCGGGCCGTCGGAAGGCCGACCAAAAAGCAAATGCCACAATCCTTCAAAAACTCAGGGGAAATCAATGATTTTGGCCTTTTCGGGCTTTCCTGGAGGCCCTCTTGGAGGCCTCTTGGGCCGTCGTGGGCCATCTTTGGGCCATCTTCGGCCGTTTTGGTGGGCTCCTGGCCCGTCCGACGCCGTCGGAAGCCGTTTGGGGGGTCTCTCTGGGCCGACTTGGGGCCCTCTTGGAATGCTCCAGGGCCGTCTTGGAGGCCATGTTGGGCGTCTTAAAAGCCTCCTGGGCCGTCTTGGAGGCCTCTTGGGGCCGTCTTGATGGCCTCTTGGGCTGTTCCGGGGGGCCATCTTGGAGGCCCCTTGGGCGATCTTTGGGCGATCTTTGGGGGCTCTTGGGCCGTCTCGGGCCGTCGGAAGGCCGAAAAGAAGCAAATGTCAAAATCCTTCAAAAACCTGAGGAACAGCAATGTTTTTTGCCTTTTCTGGCCTTCCTTCCTGGAGGCCCTCTTGGACGCCTCTTGGGCCGTCTAGGGCTAGCTTCGAGCCAACTTCCGCCATCTTGGTGCGTTCCTGGCCCGTCAGACGCCGTCGGAAGCCGTTTGGGGGGCCTCTCTGGGCCGACTTGGGGCCCTCTTGGGGTGCTCCAGGGCCGTCTTAGAGGCCTTAGAGGCCTCTTGGGTTGTCTTTGTGCCCTCTTGGGGCCGTCTTGGGGCCTCTTGGGCAGTCCTGAGGCCATCTTGGAGGGCTCTTGGGCGCTGTGGGGGCGATCTTGGGGGCCTCTTGGGCCGTCTTGGGTCGTCGGGAAGCCGAAAAGGAGCAAATACGGAAAACCTGTAAAAACCTAAGGACAATTAAAGATTTTGGCCTCTTCGGGCCCTCCTGGAGGACCTCTTGGAGGCCTCTTGGGCCGTCTTGGAGGCCTCTTGGGCACCTCTTGGGCCGTCTTGGGCAGTCTTGGAGGTTTCTTGGGCGGACTTGGAGGCATCTCCTCCTCTCTTGGGCGGACTTGGAGGCCATCGGAGGCCATCTTGGAGGCCATCTTGGGCCAACGTGGCCATCATGGAGGCCATCTTGAGCTGTCTTGGAGGACAAATTGTGCAACTGGGCACCTTTCCGGGTGGCCGGCGGGACGCGCCAGAGACCTACAGGGAGTTCTTTTGGAACAAAAACCAAAACCAAAACCGAAAGGGTCTAGCACGCCAGGCACCCCTGCGATGAATCGACAGGGGGCGGCGGACTGAAGGCCTTCGGCCCATCCCGCCAGCGTGCTTGGATCTTGGGTCAGAGTCCTCGTGGATGCTTCTTAGGGTCTCTTCGAAACGCTCTCGGGGGCCTCTTGGGGGCAGTTTTGCGGCCTCTTGGGGGGCTTTTGGGGCTTTCTGGGGGCCTCTTAGGGCCGATTGGGGCCTCTTAGGGGGCCTCTGGGGCTCTGGGGGCCGTCTTGGGGCCTCCTGGGTGCCTCTCGGTCTCTACTTTCGATGTCCCGCCGCGCTCGAAACAGGTTTCACACAGTGATCGTTTTTTTTATTCAGTGTTTTGCCGATCGACGCGGGCCCTCGCACCCCCCCTCCCCCCCCATATGAAGTGGATCTTGGCTGTTTGGGGCGCCTGTTTCGAGCAGGTGGAGTCCCTCCACGACATGACACCCTGTCGAAAGCAGTCGCACGAAGCAGAGGGTCCGGAGCCAGACCCCCCCCCCTCCGTCCCTCCCTTCCGCCCAATGTCGAAACGCCGAATCAGAAAACGCTCACCCAGGCGTCCTAGGGGCTCGCACCCTTATCGCGCATCTTTGCCATCAGCTTTGATTATAAAAGGAGCCCAGCCGCAGAGCCCGGCGAGAAGGCTCGCGAATCTGGTGTTTTCGAATGCAAGGGGCGCGGCGGCGTGGGCCACAAGGAGGCTGGCGACGTCCACAGCGTGCGTTCGACAGCCCCTGGGGTGACGGCAGTCGTTGGCGCCTCCTCCTCCTCCTCCTCCTCCTCCTCCTCCTCGCGCTCGTGAGGGTGGGGCAGCCCTTGGCGTAGTGATTGGCGGCGTCCGCCGCGAATTCGAGGCACCGTTGCGCGCGCTTGGGGAGGCGCAGAGGGGCGACTCGCGTTGGGCGCCTGCCTGTGACTGCGGCCCTGGTGCTGGCCGCCTTCCCGCGTCAAGCCACCGACGGGACAGGGCCGCCGTCGTGAGCCTCGCTGGCGTTCCTGCTGGTTCGTTTGCCCCTCGTGTGCGGCCACAGCGCGCACGTGGGAAGCACGGCACGGGCCGGAGCTCTTGGTGTATTCCGTGTGAAGACCTTGGGATCCGTGGAGAATTCCGGGAGGCCCCAGGGTAAGGCTTCAGGACTCCAGAGAGTGCACTCTGTTGGAGCCTGTTTCCTAGGAGGTTCTCGAGAGGTTCCTGAGAAGATCTGCAGGCACTCTGACTATTACCTGGTGAAGCTGTAGGCGCTCAGAACATGTGGTCGAAGAAGCGAAGCGGGCACAACCATACACTTTCGGAGCTCCGCGCTGATTTCTTTCCTCGATCGGGGCTGGACCCTCTGGCAGCGCCTCCAGGGACGCCCCAGAAGTTTATGGTCATGCCATTCTTTCGTCTTCCTCGTCTTCTCCAACATACCTGTCGGCTCTCCTGCTAGGAACACCTTCAGACCTGCATAACATGGTAGGGCTTTAAGCACCCCGAGCAGAAACCTATCAGAGCTCTAGGCCTACTAGAGCTGGGGAGTCGCGGCAGCACGAATCCTACTGTTTCTGGTCATGGAGTGTAACCAGACGTAAACAGGGAAGCGCGCTGGACCTTCCGAAGGCTGGAGGTGCCTGTATGCGTATGTGTATGTGCCTGTGTATGTTTAGGTGTATGTGTATGTGTATGTGCATGTGTAAGTGTATGTGTGTGTGTGTATGTGTATGTGTCTGTGTATGTTTCTGTGTATGTGTATGTGTATGAGTATGTGTATTTGTAGGTGTATGTACGTGTGCGTGTACGTGTGTGTCTGTGTGTGTATGTGTAGGTGTATGTGCGTCGGCCGTTTCCTGTGCATGGTGCATGCTCGCCTCAGGGCTTCTTCCACGTGCACGCCGTGCTTCTGCGATCTCTTTTTGCACACGATGGCCCCCTCAAGCCGCCCACCTGCTGCGCCGGGTGGAATTCGACGAAGCGTGCCTCTGCTTGGTGCTCTTGACGGTGCCACCACCATGCAGCTCTGGAGGATACGTGCGTGCGTGCGTGCGGCGTGTGCTGCTCGGAGCCATCGCGTCCAGCCGCCGCGCGCGTGTGTGTGTGTGTGTGTGTGCGTGCGTGCGTGCGTGCGTGCGTGCGTGCGTGCGTGCGTGCGTGCGTGCGTGCGTGCGTGCGTGCGTGCGTGCGTGCGTGCGTGCGTGCGTGCGCGTGTGCGTGTGCATGTGTGCGTGCGTGTGCGTGCGTGCGTGCGTGCGTGTCCCAACGGGTGGGGCTGTGGACCGTGGCACCGTGAAGGGGTCCGCAGGGTGCGGCTTGGCCGTGTAGTCGTGCAGGACTTGCCGACGGTGTGCCCTCCCTGCACCTCGAATGGGGCATCCATTTCTCCTCCTCCCTTGCTTTCTGGGCAGGTTCGCTAAGACAGCGGACGAGCTGCTAGCTGACTTGGGCGCCATCGAGGCGCAACGGGGCGCTGGCATCGGCAAGTGGGACAAGCAGTAGTGCGAACATGGGGTACGCAACGTAAGGGCGCAGCGGGGTGCGTGATGAGTTAAGATATCACGGCTCAGTATGCAAAAGTGGCACATGGACAAAAGACAGGGGTAGCTTCTTGGTATAAGCGATACAGAGGGTGGTTTTCGAGAGACAATGCACACACACTCGAGAGAGAGAGATAGAGATAGTGATGTGTGTGTATATATTTATGTATGTATATATACACAGACAGAGAGAGAGAGAGAGAGAAACAAAAAACAAGGAGGGAGAGAGAGAGAGAGAGAGAGAAACACAGAGGCACAGACACACGCACACACGCACACACCTTTTGGTGGTCTCGGCCTCGCGCGCAATGACGAGGCGGAGCAACTCACCCGAGCAACTAGAGAACGTGCGCGTCCGGCCCCTCAGAAGATGGGGCAGGGGTCCAATCATGATCGACCCTGCCATGCGCATCTCAGGGCATGGGCAGCGAGGGCGAAGCAGGCCAGGGCGGCAGGCAAGCGGGTGCGCAGTACGGCCGGACGGCAGCGACGAGGCAACAAGGGGAGGCGGGACAGGAAGGGGCGGTCGGACAGCGAGGACCTGCGCAGCAGCTCGGCGAGGCAAGGCAGGACGCGGCCCGTGCGGCCCAGCGCGGCAGCGGGCAAGGCCGACACCGTCGGGAGCGGTGCCCGAGCAAGGGAGCGGAGCCCGCGCGGATGCCCCTTCAGCCCGCAGGGGCACGGTGGGGGGAGGCGATGGGCCGAGACCGGGGCAGAAGGAGAGACAGTGCAGGGCGCGGGGGAAAGGAGAATGCACATGAGGAGGAGGAGGAGGAGGAGGAGGAGGAGGTGGAGGAGGAGGAGGAGGAGGAGGAAGAGGAGGAGGAGGAGGAGGCAGCGGTGGAGGAGGGATAGGTGGATGAGGAGGGAGCGGAACTTGACGGTAAGGAGTAGTTGGCGTCGGTGGGGGGCAGGGGAGGACGGGAGGATGACGAGAAAACGCGACGGGGAGAACAGTGAAGGTAGCGGCCTCAACGTAGGGCACGCAGCCACAGGTGCCTGACGAGGAGCCCAAGTCCCGCTTCTCGTCGGAGCCCAGGCACTCGGCCCGCATGGGAGAGGGTGTATGCTGGACCGTCGTTGGCCGTCTGCCCCCCTCCACCTCGTTCCCGCTCCCCGCTCCCCGCTCCCCTGTCCTGTTTTTTTTTGTCCCCGCCAGCCGACCGGAGGAATTATGAGATCCACGTGTTTCCCGACAGCTCTGACCGCCAGCTTGCCCAGCTCATTCCAGGCAAACATGTCTGATCTCCAGATGGTCGCTGCGCCGCGGAAGAAGTCCTCCCCTCTCTCTCTCTCCCTCTCTCTCCCCTCTTACCCACTCCCCGCCCCCCGTCCCCATTCCCCCCCTGCTCCCTGTCCTCCTCCCCCTCCGCGCTCCCCGCTCCTCCCTCCCCCTTCCCCGCTCCCTGCGCTCCCTCTCCCAGTCATCTTTCATCGACATTTGGGACACGCGTGCCGTTCGCTTGCGGGCCTCCCCAGGAGGCGCTCGCGAATGCTCTCTGGGGATGGGCGATGTCGTCTGATGGGCGAGGGCTTGCATTTCCCGCGAAGCCTCGGGGTATCGAGCTCCAGGGTCAAGAGAGGGGCTTTAGCGGGCATCCCCGCGAACTTCGCTGCAGTCGAGGGCCTGATTTCTCGAAGGGTGCTGGACTTCTCAGCTTTGTCCCAGGCCGTCCGCATTGCTTTTTCTGACTTCATGAAGAATCAGCGGGTGAATCCTGGACTGCAGCGCACAGGAAGGCACGTCAGCTGCACGTGCGCGGGGAAGTGCGTGTTCGTCGTGGGGGTCGGCCTCAGTGAAGCAGGCGCGAGGCGGAGGGCTACCTGCAGTGCTGGGCGTGCAAACCAGAAGGGTCAGGAGATATTGCAAATGTCGACCCTTCAGCAGCAGGATGCTGCAGCATGCTCATCGTCCGTTCTGTCAGCCTGCGCCGTTGTGTATAGTTCGTCGCGCCCTGAAAGGGTCCACCTCGCGGTGGCAGGCTCAACAGTGTGGATCCCACGGGATACGAAGAAGTTCGGCCCGAACCGATCTCCGCAGTCCAGCCCCACTGTAAGAAAGCATCGGGCTACGTTGTCCTGCAGGATGTTCTCTGTCCCCTGTGCTGGGCTTCAGGACTCGCGCCCGCATCAATCTCCAGCTTCACAGCAGATCGTGTGTGTGTGTGTGCGTGTGTGTGTGTGTGTGTGTGTGTGTTGTTGGTCGGCGCTCGTCGAGAGAATGCGGAGGATGAGGAGGAGGAGGAGGGGAATACTGATGATGCTGATGATGCTAATGGTGATCCTGATTATGCTGATGGTGATGAAGTTGTGATGACGACGTCGATGATGTCGATGGCGATGACGACGATGAACATGATGATGATGATGATGATGATGATGATGATGATGATGATGATGATGAATATTGTGATGATGATGATGCTGATGATGCTGATCATGATGGGGATGATGATGTTGATGATGATGATGATGTTGATGCTGATGATGATGGTGATGCTGATGATGCTGCTGATGATGATGATGCTGACGTTGATGATGATGTTGTTGATGCTGCTGGCGATGACGATGCTGTTGTTGATGATAATTGGTGATGGTGATGGTGATGGCGAGTGTGATGATGATAATGATGATTTGGATTTTGATGATGGTGAGGTTGTTGTTGAGGATGATGTTGCTGACGGTGATGCTGGTGGTGATAGTATTGGTGTTTGTGTTGGTGTTGGCGTTGGTGATGGTGTTGGTAATGATGATGCTGCTGATGATGATGATGATGATGATGATGATGATGATGATGATGATGATGATGATGATGCTGACGATGATGATGGTGGTGATGATGATGTTGATGATGATTATTGTGCTGCTGATGACGGTGATGATGATGGCGGTGATGACGCTTATGCAGCACCACTGTGCAGCACCTCTGTGCCGCCCCCCGCGCCGCCCAGAACAGCCTGCGAGGGTCCGCTGAAGCGGCGCGCTGCCGCGCGCGATCGTATCGGGACCAGCCCGTCTCCAGTCCGCACACCTCCTGCAGCTGGCGGCCGGCAGGAGGCGAGAGGCATGCCGACGAGGGCCTCTGCCCCCTCCTCCCGCCCGGCGCGTCCGCGGAGGCCTCCAGGCGAGGGGCCGCCGGTGCTCTGGGGCATGCCCGAGCGGCGCATCGGCGCGCTGGAATGCTGGGCGATCAACCACGTGAAGCAGATTCACGTCAAGGTGGCTCTGCCCAGCGCCGAGAGTCAGCACCGGCCAACCTATCCCGATCCCCACCGGACCATGGTATCTCAGCCCCACGGGCCCACCCTCCCAGGGCGGGACAGACCCTGCGCAACCCGAAGGGGCAGCCATACATCCCCACGCAGGCGGGTAAGTCGGCCAGTGCGGCCAAGGCCGCGCCAGTGGGGATTAGGATCGGTGAAACGATGCTCAGGAAGTCCCAGACACGTGATGTCTTGATCTTTCCAGTGCGGGGTCCCCGAAAGTCCCGACCCATTCACCGGGGTTGGTTTTTCAGCCTGGGTTATTTCCCTTGCACAGCTGTGTTCTAGAGCTCGGACCTCCCTGATTCCGTCTTTCGTTCGTTCGTGGCCTGCTCCCCCTCCCCTGGCCTACCCCTGGCCCTCGCCCCAGCCCCCTGGCCCCCACTGGCTCCGGGGCCCTTTCTTTTTCCGCCGTTTGTTCGTTCATGGCTTCGCCCCCCCCCTCCTCTGGCCTGCCCCTGGTCTTCGCCCCCAGTCTCTGGCCCGGCTCCCACTGGCCCGCTCCCTCGCTCCCCCTGGCCCTGGAGCCCTTAATTTTCGTCCCATCCCCTGGTCCGCCCCTGGCCCACCCTTGGCCCTCGCCCCAGCCCCCTCGCTCTCCCATGCCCACTGACCCTTCGTTGTCGTTCGTTCGTCGTTCGTCGTTCGTTCGATCGTTCGTGGTCCCCCTCCCCTCTCGTCTCTGGGGCCCCCTCCCCTCTGGCCAAGGCCACCCCCGATGCCCCCCAGACTCTTTATTTTCGTTTGTTCGCAGTCCGTTCGTTCGTCGTTCGTGGTCCCTTCCCCCCCCGATCCTGGCCTCCCTCCCCTCAGGGGAGCTTGTGGGGGGAGGCCTCCCGGGGACCGTCTGGGGGCCCCCTGGGAATGCCTCGTGGAAGGCCTCTTGTGCGCGCCGCCACTGGGTTACGTTGCATCTTCGGGGGACCTCGCCTGTCTCCCAAATTTGTGTCTTCTCTTGTGCCCGACGCGGGCTCGATGCGGACTCGACGCGGATTTGGCGTGGCTCCGGCGCGGAGTCGACACGGATTCCACAGATCCGACGAGGCCGACGTGGACTCGACACGGAGTCAATGCGGATAGGGCCGCGACGGGACAGACAAGGGGTGGAAGAGGAGGAGGAGGAGGAGGAGGAGGTGGAGGAGGAGGAGGAGGAGGAGGAGGAGGAGGAGGAGGAGAGACGAGGCCCCCCGAGGATGCAGCAGACGGTCCGGCCTGGGCCGCTCGGTCCGCGCGGGCCCCCACCGCGATCCGCGCCGAGAGGTGGCCGCCCGGGAGCACTTCAGCGACCACCGGCGGGCCTCGCGCCACAGGAGCTCCGCGCCGAGCGGCCGCCGCGCGCGCCCCCCTCGCCTCTCTCCTCGCTCCTCCGCCTCCTCCTCCTCCTCCTCCTCCTCCTCCCTCCTTCCCTCCTCCTTCTCCTCCTCCTCCTCCTCCTCTCCTCCTCCTCTCCTCCCCCTCTCCTCCTCCTCCTCCTCGTCCTCCTCCTCCTCCTCCTCCTCCTCCTCCTCCTCCTCCTCCTCCTCCTCCTCCTCCTCCTCCTCCTCCCCCTCCTCGTCCTCTCCCTCCATCTGCACAGGCGGAGCCCAGGGGTCCGATGCCCCCGCCCTCCCCCCGCCCAGAGGTTGCGCGTGCTCCACTCGGCGGCGTCGGCAGCAGATCGTGGGAGCCTGGGATACCCTCATCATGCCGTCTGTGGCGTCGAGTTGCGTCGAGCAGCGTCTGGGAGTGGGCGAGGTAGCGCTGATTTAGCGTCGGCTAGCGTCGATTCAGCGTCGGTGAGCGTCGATCAGCGCCGTTTTTGCGCGTCCCTTCCCCCCCGCCCTCTGCATGGGAGGGCGGTTGCCCGTGCTCCCATTGGCGGCGAGCGAGGGGGGGGAAGTGAGAAAGATAATGCTTTCTCTTTAGGCGTCCCAAATGGGGTCGGAGTAGATGGGGTCGGAGGTCGGAGAAGGATCGCGCCGCATCGCCAATGCATCGGCGATGCCGCTCGATGTGGAGCCCGATCTTCTCCACGCCGACGTCGCCGATGCATCGGCGACGTCGTCGGTGCATCGCCGTTGAATCGCCGATGAATCGCCTATGCATCGGCAAAGCACTGGCGATGCGGTACGCTCCTCCGACCCCATCTACTCGGACCCCATCTAGGAGCCCTCTAGAGAAGGGGGAAGGCGGCGGGGCTTCTCAGAAGCCCTCGCTTCTTCTGATAATTTTTCGGTGGGTGCCTTCGGGGAAGGCTTGGACATTTTTTCAAACGGCCGGGGGACTTCCAAGCCTTCCGACAAGGCCTTATCCTTCTCACTTCCCCCCCAGGCTCTGCCTGGGAGGGAGGTTTCCCGTCCTCCATGGTCAGAATGACACTTATCGGGTTGGGAGGACGGGGCTGGGAAAACTGATCAGAGATCATCCATCTGACCGCGCATGTTGAGGGTGCTTCCTACACAGCCGTGCCCTGAATCTTCCCGACCCCTTCCCTCCAACACGATAGCTGTCTTTCTCACAAGCCCTCCTCTTCTCTGCCTAATTCAAGCTTCGCGCGGCCCGCTTAGCTTCGACCGGAAGAGGTGCGCTCTCGACCCGCGGATCAAAATTTGTCTTTCTCATAGGGGAGGTCCCCAGATGGAGCCGGCCGAGCGTCTGAGGCGGCCCAGCACCGGTTCCGGCCAGCAGGAGAAGGGGAGGGGCGAGGTGGGAGGTTCTGGCTGCGGTGGGGCTTTTGGCTCCCTTCGGCTTCCTGGGGCCTTTTTTTCGGGCCCCGGGACCGTCAAAAAACCAGGTCCAGGGTGAAACAAATGGAGTCGGAGGACTGATTTTGCGCAGGGTTGGCTTCCATTTCCCCTCCTGGCCGTTTTTTTCTGGGGTCCCGGCCGGTTCAGACCCCGTGGCCGCCTCCAGGGCCCCAGGGCTCTGGCGATTTTCGTTCCCAGCCATCCTGTGGTGTTGGGTTCTCGTTTGGAAGAGACGGCGCCCCGCGTCCCACCCCCTCCTCCTCCTCCTCCTCCTCCTCCTTCTCCTCCTCCTCCTCCTCCTCCTCCCGCTGCTCCTCCTCCTCCTCCTGCTCCTCCTCCTCCCGCTGCTCCTCCTCCCATCCCTGCCCCTGCCCTCCGCATGCGCATGCCGGCACAACCTTACACGTCCCGTGGCCCCATAGGGAGCTCCACCGAAGGCCCAAACGGCAGCGCCTGCACTGCGCCGCCGCCGCATTTTGGCACACCCCTCGCGCGTTTCGTGGCCGGCCCCGCCAGCTGGGAGCCCAGCCGGAGGCCGCCCGGCGGGAGGAGGAGGAGGAGGAGGAGGAGGAGGAGGAGGAGGAGGAGGAGGAGGAGGAGGAGGAGGAGGAGGAGGAGGAGGAGGAGGAGGAGGAGGAGGAGGAGGAGGAGGAGGAGGAGGAGGAGAAGGGGAGGAGGAGGAGAGCAGCGGGAGGAGGAGGAGGAGGAGGAGGAGGAGGAGGAGGAGGAGGAGGAGGAGGAGGAGGAGGAGGAGGAGGAGGAGGAGGAGAGGAGGAGGGGAGGAGGAGGAGGAGGAGGAGGAGGAGGAGGAGGAGGAGGAGGAGGAGGAGGAGGGAGGAGGGGAGGAGGAGGAGGAGGAGGAGGAGGAGGAGGAGGAGGAGGATAACCAGTGTAAGTCCAAGACTCATCCACGATGTTAGGATACACCCTCCCTCCAATCTTCCGCTTATTAGGCTCCATAAAGTGATTCACTTCCACTGGGGGACGTTCCCCGATGGGAGGCAACCGTGTAAAAATCCTGAAGCGTCCGAGTCAACCTGACTGTTGCGTCTTGACTGTCCTGAATCGTGCCAGAACACCATTCCTGGGACTCCAACACCGCGAATCAACGTAACTGCTGCGCCCTGACAGCCCTGAATCTTTGGCAAACGTGATTTCTGGAAGGTTGACCATGGTTCTGAGAACGAGTGTGCGCGGTGCGCAGGCAAACCACATTTTGAAAACGACCTGCCCTCAACTTGTGAAACTCTGGCAGTTTTTAGAAACGAATCGGCGCGGCGCTCAGGCGAGAGCCACAGTTTGAAAGCGAATCGCCCTCAATCCGTGAAACTCGTGCAATGTTTCAAAACGAGTGTGCGCGGCGCTCAGGCGAGAGTTGCATTTTGAAAACGACCTGCCCTCAATCCGTGAAGCTCTGGCAAATTTTTAAGACGAGTGTGCGCGGCGCTGGGGCGAGAGCCACATTTCGAACATGTGGCGGAAGCACGCCGCGGCCGCCGTTACCGATACCCGCCGGCCCCCCCCTGGGGAACAGCCGTTACTCAAAATAATGAAAAAACGGTCTCATGCCTTTCTCCGCATTTTGATGGTTGCAGATCAGGGGATTTGCTGACGCGGTTGGTGGTTTTCGTTGCGCTCACGCTGTTGGTGGTTTTCGCCGCGATCAGGCCACAGCACACCAGAGGACTTGTGAACCGAGCACGGTCGTGAGGAGTGGTTTAATATGAAACGAAACATCGTTTTACAGGTCGTGGGGGCCAAGTCCAGATCATAGTTTTTTATCGGATCCGAGCCGCTTTCGAGCCTGCTCCGAACGTCCTCCTGATCCCCGGTCTGCTCAGGCCGTTTCGGTGAACCTTTTTTGTCACCGTTTCGGTGAGCCCGTTTTCACCGTTCTCACTACGGTGGGGGCGTTGATTACGGAATGTGCCCAGGAGGCTGCATACCCTGGAGGATCCCTCATTTGATGAGGGCGGCGGTGATATCCATGGCCGAGCCTCAATTGGAGCTCCACCGACCTCCAGACACTGGACTGCTTCTCCAGTGCCTCCGTATCCCATGCCCCCACCCGTATCGAGAGGCAGCCTCTCCTGAAAGCGGCAAGCCGCTGCCCTGCCGCTCCCAGGTGCAGGGGGCCACATGCGAACCCTACCCCTACCCCCCACGATTTCTGAGGGGGGAGGGGTAGGGTTCGCCTGTGGCCCCCTAATGGGGGCCCACCGAGGGGCCGGACCCGCGATCCGCCGCCCGTCGTGCTGCGCTCTGCAGCGCCCGGGGTCGGCAGAGAGCAGGCGATCGCAGACCTGGACCAAAAGGCGGCGCGGAGCGGCGCCGGGCCCATCGAGGCCGCTCTCCGCCGCCCACCGAGGCGGCGCCGGCCGCACCTCCGCATCCTGGGGGAGGGCACCTCCCTTTTGGACGCCCGAAATGGGTACGGAAAGAGTGGGCACTGTGCCCAACAACAAGTGTTGTCCCAAAGCAACAGCGGCCGCTGTTGGGCAGGCGGCCTTCTGTCTCGAATGGACACGGGCCGCGGCGGCGCGGACAGCGAGTCCTGTTCGAAACAAGCAGGAACTGCTGTTGGGCATTGTGCCCATTCTTTCCGTACGCATGTCGGGCGCCCGGATCCCTGGGTCCGTGGGTCAGGCGGCCGCGCGCCAAGTCCCTGGAGCGCCAGGCCGCGGGGAGGAGGAGGAGGAGGAGGAGGAGGAGGAGGAGGAGGAGGAGGAGGAGGAGGAGGAGGAGGAGGAGGAGGAGGAGGAGGAGGAGGAGGAGGAGGAGGAGGAGGAGGAGGAGGAGGAGGAGGAGGAGGAGGAGGAGGAGGAGGAGGAGGAGGAGGAGGAGGAGGAGGAGGAGGAGAGGAGGAGGAGGAGGAGGAGGAGGAGGAGGAGGAGGCGGGGAGGAGGCAGGAGGAGGAGGAGGAGGAGGAGGAGGAGGAGGGGAGGAGGAGGAGGAGAGGAGGAGGAGGAGGAGGAGGAGGAGGAGGAGGATGATGAGGAGGAGGAGGAGGAGGAGGAGGAGGAGGAGAAGGAGGAGGAGGAGGAGGAGGAGGAGTGCGCGCCCCCGGAGACGAGGAACTCCATCATCAGCTCGGGCGTGGCGCACATCCTGACGGCCCGTGCCCAGCGCTGCCAGCTCGACGGCGAGGAGAGCCACGCGCGCATCCGCCCCCGCAGGGCGGGGGGGCAGCAGCAGCGTGCAGCGAGGGGGGGCGGGGGCTGGGCGAGGGAAGAGGCCTACGGTGAAGTCGGGCCTGTCCCTTTGCAGGAGGATTTTTTCCCAAAATAGTCCGAACATAGTTCGGGGACGATGTTTTGAGTTTTTTTGTGTTTCTTTGCGTTTTTTGTTGTTCTTGTTTTGTTTTTTTGTTCGTTGTATGTTTAAATGTTTTGTTGATTATCTGTGTCGTCCACAATCCGCCTGTAGGGGGACGTGCCCGACCTAAGCCTACACTCGGGCCGCCGAAGTTGCCCTTCCCGTTGGGGAGGGGGTCAGTGTTCCTTGATGGCTTTGCAGTTTTTCTTTGATTGCGGCGGGGGCATTCGTTAAGGAATGGGCCCAGGAGGCTGCAGACCCTGGGGGATTGCTTATCTGATGAGGGCGGCGGTGCTATCCATGGCCGATGCACGACTGGAGTTCCACCTTCTTCCAGACCCTGGGTTCCTTATCCAATGGTTCCGCATCTAATGCCCTCACCGTCCGTAGCCATTTTGGCACAAGGCCATGGAGCGCCCGACGACCGCGAGTCGCCCGCGGCGCTCAGAGCGCGAGGGGCTCCTCGCTTTGGGCCAGCGCGACGCAGTTTTGAGCCAGCGTTTGGGTGCGAGGCGGGCGTCCTCGGCGGGATGGTGGCTCCCGCGAAGGGCGGCGCTTCCCCTGGCGCTGGCGCTCGCGGCGCTGGTGGTGGCGGCGGCAGGAGCGGAGCGTGCTGGGCCTGCTCGTGCGGGCACTGGTCCTGCGCGTCCAGAGGGTGGTGCTTCGGTTGCCACGCCGTGGCCCCGCCCTGGGCGCGGGTGCGGGGAGCGGCGATCGGCGACCAACCCGCGCCCGACGCCGAGGGCTTCGTCAAGGCGGGCAAGGGCAAGCGGGCGCGCCGCAGGGCCCGTGCCGCAGCCGCCTTTGGGGCTGGCCAGGCCTCTGACGCTGGCGGCGGGGGGGGCGGCGGCAGCCAGTGCAGCCAGGGAGGAGGCAGCCAGCCGCAGGCTTCCCGCCTGGCCGAGCTGGAGCGTGCCGTCGCCCACCTGGAGGCCTGCCCCAGCCTCGGAGGTGATGAAAACGCTTTTGTGGCTGAGCGGCTGGCCGCCCTTCGGGCCAAGAAGGAGCAGGCTGCCGCAGCCCAGGCGCGGGACAAGGAGGCTGGCTTGTCTCCAGTGGCTCGCTTGCGCAGGGCTGCCAACACGGCCAGCAAGGCGGAACGCAGGGCGGCGGGAGCCCCCAAGTCGCTCGAGGCGGCGGACGTCGCGGTGGCAGCAGCGGAGGTGGCGATGTAGGCCGCGGCGGACCAGCTGGAGGACGCGGAGGAACGCCGTACCGAGGCGCGAGAGCGGCTGGCTGAGCTGGAGGAGGAGGCTGCTGCAGCGAAGTCCACGCAGGAGCGCATGCAGGTCTCGGAGGACGACTTGCAGGCTGTGCGCGGGTTGTTCCTTCAGCTGCGGACCTTCCCGACGGCGCACCAGGCGGGCAACTTCGCCGACTCGCGGGGGTCGACCATGCAGCAGCTGCAGGCAGTCGAGGGGCGCTTCGCCGATCGCGAGGGCTCACCAGCCACCAGTGCTCGCGAGCGACGGGGCGACAGCTGCCCAATCGACGGCGGCGAGATCGGCTCCGACTCGGACCTGGACTTAGTGGGCGGGATGGCGCTAGCTGCAGAGCGTGGGCAGGCGGAGCGCCTCCCGCCAGCAGCGGGGCCCTGGCCTCGGGTGCCGAAGAGTGTTGTGCGCGAGCTGGCGGCAGAGTCATGTGACCTGGGTCCTCTGGCGGCGGTGCCTGCAGGCAACGCGGCGGCGGCTGCTGGCGCGCAGCCGCAGCTTTAGCCCCAGCAGCAGGAGGCAGGCCGAGGGGGCGGCCCAGCTGAAGTTGGCCGAAGCGCTCCCCAGGGAGCTGTCGGCAGCCGGCGTGATCGCGATCAACGGCTCCACCTGGGCGGAAACCAGAACGGCGATCGAGCAGATCCGCGACGAGGGCGCCCAGGACGATGTCTTCTTGGTGCAGGGGGCTCGCTTCGCAGGGTCGGCGGCTGCATCCTCTGCACCGAGCTGGTGCTCGAGGAACGCCCTCCAGGCGGCATTTGGCCCCTGCAGGCGCACAGGGCAGCTGGCGCAGGAGGTCCCGTCGGGGGTTGGGGTCCTGACGGCGAGCTTCAGAGGAGTGGCGAAGATCGAGCAGGGCTGGGGCGACTTCTCGCATCGGGTGATCGCGCGGAGAGTCGCCTTCGGGGACCTAGTGATCGTGGTGGTCAGCGTCTGCCTGGAGCCCTCCGCGAAGCTGGCTGGCATCAACCTCGAGCTGCTCGGCATTGTCCAGGAGTTCCTGAACGCTGCCAGCGAGTCTCTCATCGTGGCGGGCGACTGGGACATGGGGCCGCAAGACCTGTCGGCGTCATGGTGGCCTCGTTCGATCGGAGGGGCCGTGCTGGAGCCCCTGCAGCCGACCTGCAACGGTAAGCAGTACGACTACTTCGTGGTCTCGGCTTTGCTGGTGGCGCCCGGGCCCCAGGTCGAGGCACTTCGGCCGACGGCGACGTGCCCGCGCGTGCCAGTGCGCCTCTCTTTCGCGAAAAAGGGCGCCCCGGCCCACGTCCGGGTGCTGAAGTCGCCTCGGAGGTTCGACGTCGCGGAGAAGGTGGCACTTGTGGCGAAGGCCTCAGCGGACGCCTCAGCCCAGGAGGTGCAGCGGCAGGCTCCACTGCTGGATGCTCGAGGCCTTCCCAGCGAAGCAGTGCGCCAGCTCTACGACGTGGCGGAGAAGCACCTGATCGAGCTCTTCGAGATTCAGGTTGGCAGCGCCTACTGCGGCAGGTCGCGGGGTGTTCGCAGGGTCCAGAAGTGCTTGAAGGACCTCCATCGCACCGAGGCGACCAGGAATGTCAGCCCGCTGGCGAGGCTCTGGATGTCCTTGGGGCGGCTCACGAGGCAGCCGGCGGCGGCTGCGGCGGCGTTGGCTCCGCCGGCTGGACACAGGGCCTACATGGGGCACCTGAAGGATGCAGCCTTCGTCTCGTCCTGGTGCCGAACTTCACCCGGCAGGGCTGCGACATGTTCGCGTCCGCGAGCATGCGGCTGCTGCTGGAGGAAGTGGACGCGTCCACGAGTGTTGGCGGCAGCTTCCTGGGGGCCATCCAGGCAGCCGCGGCCGACGGCGCCGAGTCGGACGACCAGCTTGCGCGGCGCCGCTGGGCGGAGTTCGTGGGCGAAGCCCTTGCAGCAGGAGGCCGCGGAGAACGCAGTCAGAAAGCAGCAGCACGAGGATGAGTTCTCCGTTCTGGACGATGGAGAGGCCCAGCGGGCGCCCCGCCAGTTCCGCCGGTAGGCCAGGCGGCCTTGGACCAGGCACTGAAGGAGTGGAAGCAGCTCTGGGTTGACAGGAGGGCTCCCAACTCGCCGCGCCAGGAGAAGGGCGCAAGGGGACCTCGCCCGCCTGAGAGCTGGGCTGTGACCCTGGACCTGCCTGCTATCACTGGGGTGGAGGTGATCGGTGCGGCCAAGGCCTTCCCCGAGAAGACCGCCTTGGGCTGGGGCGGTTTCCACCCCCGCCTGCTGCTGCTCCTGGGCCAGCCCTTCGCGGTCCGCGCAGCGGGGCTGCTGGCGGCTGGGGGGCGAGATCAGCTTGACCCTGCCCGTGGGTTCCTTGTGGGCGCATCTTGCGCTGGGTGGCCGCAGAGACCGCGACACACAGCTTCCACCACATAGCTTGCACCACACAGCTTGCACCACATAGCTTACATCACCGAGCTCGCACCATACATGTTGCACCACATCTTTTGCACCGCGCAGCCTGCACCAACAAGCCGGCACAACCTTGCGAAACATAGCTTGCACCACATCGTGAAATCACAAAGCTTGTACCACATAACTTGCACCACATAGTTTGCACCGCATAGCTTGCACCACATCTACTGCACCACGCAGCTTATACGACATTCCTTGCGCCACGCAGCTTGCGTCCACGATGGCAAACGTTGTCCTCCTGGCTATTTACGATCCTCCACGTTTTGTGTTTCTCTTCTTCAGTGTTCTGCTCGTTTTGGGTGTTCCTCGGTTTGTCTTTCCTTTGGTAAAAAGGGGATATGGCTACCAAAGAGGCCCAAGTGCTGCCACCCTCAACGAGATCGTTTTTTCATAGCATATGTTTTGGGTTTTTGGTATTTTTGTGTGTTTGCGATGGAGTCGACCGTTGGTATCGGCGTTTGGGCAACCTTGCAGGCCTCCGAAAATTATAAAGCTCATGGGGTGCGGCGGGGTTCAGGAAGGAGGCTGTGTAGGACTTGCCCAGACGGATGAGGCGTCGAACTTGGGCAAGGTCCATCGGAGGCAGCAGGGTTCAGCAGAGGATGCAGGGCAGGTCTGGCCCAGATAGGTGGCGGGACCTGGTCGGTAGAGTTCAGGCGGTGGGGGATGTTCTTTTGTCTGGCTGGTAGATCCTTGATACACACCATGCGCACGGCCGATCAGCAGACCTCGCGTGAGAGGTGAGGAACTGGGATGGAATGGGAGACTGAGGGGAGAGAGCCCCAGACACGCGATGTCCGGTTTTTCCCAACCGTCCTGTGGTGTTGGGTCGTCGTTTTGAAGAGATAGCGTTCCGAGTCCCCTCCTCATTTCCTCCTCCCCCTCCTCCTCCCGCCTCTTGCCTCTGCCCCCTCCTCCTCCCACCTCTTGCCTCTGCCCCCTCCCTCATGTCCTTCTCCCCCTCCTCCTCCTCCCACCTCTCGCCTCTGCCCTCCACAGGTTCCTGTCTCGGCACACCCCTCAGACCTTTCGTAGCCCCATACGGAGCTCTACCGAAGGCCCTAGTGGCACGGTTCGGATGGCGACTCCGCACCCGTTTCGGCAGACCTCGCACACGTCTCGTGGTCCCATAGGGAGCTCCACCGAAGGCTATAGTGGCGCAGTCCGCATGGCGGCACCGCGTCCATGTCGGCACACACCTCGCACGTTTCTTGGCCCCATAGGGAGCTCCACCGAAGGCTCTAGTTGCGCAGTCCGCATGGCGGTGCCGCATCCAATTTGGCACGCCCCTCACACGTTTCGTGGCCCCATCGGGAGCTTTACCGAAGCCCTGGTGGCACAATCCGCATGGCGGCGCGGCACTCAGTCTGGCACATCCCTCACACGTCTCGTGGCACTTAGACACACCCCTTGTAAGTTTCGTGGCCCCATAGGGAGCTACACCGAAGACGATTCTCACAACCGGGGTACTCACAATTGCATTTGGTTGGGTCCCTCGCGAGGCTAATTTTCAATACGGGGTTCCCGGCAGTCCCGACCCCTTCCCCAAGGCCAGCTTTTCATCCCGAGTAGTTTTTGGCGGTCCTGGGGCCCGGCGAGGGCCCCCAAGGGCCGAACACTGCCAGAAATTTGCCGTCGTGTTTTTTTCACGACGCGGTCATGTCTGGGACGGGGAATCAAAGGAGAGGAGAGAGGGAATTCCCGAGAAAAGGCAGAAAACAGAGACACGAAGGCCGGCGGGGGACTGGCTTGCTCAGAGCTCGGAGGCTGTCCTGCCGACCTCCCCCTGTTGCCTCATAACATCAGGGGCTAAGTCAGGCAGCAGAGTATTGCGACGGCCTTAAGACTTTTGCCGCCGACCCTGACGGGCGACGACGACGACGCTGGCGTGGGTGAGAGTCCTCAGGAATGCTTTGTGGGGTCTCTTCGGAGCTCTCTCGTGGGCGTCTGGGGGGCAGTTTTGGAGCCCTCTTGGGAGCATCTGGAGGGCCTCTTGGGAGCCTCTGGGGGGCCTCTTGGGGGCCTCTTGGGGCCTCTTAGATGCCCGTGGGGCCGCTTGGGGGCCTCTTGGGGGCCCCTTGTGGCCTCCTGGGAGCTTCTCGGGGCCGAGGGCTCGAAATGCCAGCTCGGGTCCCCCGTCTGGGCACCCGCCGTCTTGGAGGCCTCTTGGGCCGTCTTGGAGGCCTCTTGGGCAGTCCTGGGGCCCTCTTCGGTTGTTCTGGGGCCCTCCTGGAGGCCTCTTGGGAGCCTCTTGAGGCGATCTTGGGAGCCTCTTGGGCCGTCTTGGATCGTCGGGAAGCCGAACAGGCGAGAACGCCCAACTCTTGCAACATCTTATGGAAGAACCTTGACTTTGGAGTGTTGGGGCTCTTTTGGGAATGCTCTTGGAGGCCTTTTCGAGCGTCTCGGAGGCCTCTTATGCACCCTAAGATCAGGAGCTAAGTGAGGCAGAATACTAGTCTGACAGGGCCACAGTTTCCTGCCTTGGCCGTAGGTTCGGATGTCCCCCGCCTGGGTGTCTATCCATTGTAGCTTCTACAGTGGGCGAGACAGAACTCTTCTAATTCAAAGCGAGTTGAGCCAAGCTGCGGGACGCGAAGCTAACGCTCATGCTCAGGCCAAGGGCAAGGCCAAGAAAGGCTAAGGCTAAGGCTCTGACTGAGACCAACGCTCAAGCTGCAGGCCAAGGCCAGGCCAAGTCCAAGGCCCACGACGTTTGCCCCTCTTGGGAGATGATGAGGCCCCTCTTGATAGCAAGTCTTGCGAGGAAGATGCTCAAATAGAGTAGATGGGCGGCTGGACAAGGGGCGAAGCGCGCGATGGCCTCAGCGATGATCCCGTCCTCGATAAGAACGGAGGTGGTGAGGGGGGGGGAAGGGGACCAGCAAGGAGACGGGGAGGGGGGACTCGCGCAGTGCAGTCGACTGCCCTGCAGCAGCGTCGAGGAGTCCAGCAGAGCTTCTCTCCTTCAAGGCGCCCTGTGATACGTCTTCCATGATGGCGCCAGGTGTGGGGATGTGCAGTGGGCGAGGCCGTTCAGCCCGCGTGTCCCCTGGCACGTGGACCCTCTGGGCTGGTACGTGCCGCCGTGGGATGTCGCCAAGGGGTGTGCCATCGTGCCGCCGGCCATGCCGCCCGCAGGAGTCCGCCTTCCTGACGGGGAAGCTGCGGCCCCTCGCTCAGTCCTGGGCCCTCCGGAGCCGCTCCTCCGTGGGCCTTCTTTTGCAGGCCTCCCCGCATCGCTCGCAGCATCATAACTATCATTTGTCTTCTTCTTCTTCTTCGCCCCCTGCCGCCGGCCCCCTCCCTATCATAATGAGAAACATCGTCGCGTCGGTGCATCTCGGCGCTGCCTTGGCGCATCCGGGAGCAGCATGCGTGGGCGGCTGGGAAGAATCAGCGCATATTGAGACGTTGGCGTTATCGAAGACGCCTACGGCGATTCACCGCCGCCCCCCGCCTTCTAGAATCGCCCATGTGGCCGAGCTTTGTGGCAAAAGCTCTGCCAAGGTATCGGGCCATGTGTTCCCCCAACCGTTGTGGAAACCCTTCGGGGAACACTTGGGGGAGGATGGCGGGGAAGATCAAGAGGAGGCGGAGGCGGAGGAGGAGGAGGAGGTCGAGGAGGAGGAGGAGGCGGAGGAGGGGGCATCTTGGGAGCCTCTGGGGACACTCTTGGGGCCTCCTGGGAGCTTCCTGGGAGCCTCTTGGGCCCTTGGGGGCTTCTCGGGGGCCTCTTTGGCCGTCTTGGTGGGCTCCTGGCCCCTCTGACGCCGTCGGAAGCCATCTTGGGGGCCTCTCTGGGCAGTCTTGTGGCCCTCTTGGGGTGCTCCAGGGCCGTCTTGGAGGCCATCGTCTTGGAGGCCTCTTGGGCCGTCTTGGGGGCCTCTTGGGGCCGTCTTGGGAGCCTCTTGGGCCGTTCTGGGGCCATACTGGAGACCTCTTGGGCGATCTTTGGGGGTTCTTGGGCCGTCTTGGGCGGTCGGAAGGCCGAAATAAAGCAAATGCCATACTCCTTAAACTCGTGGGAAATCAATGATTTTGGCCTTTCGGGCTTTCCTGGAGGCCCTCTTGGAGGCCTCTTGGGCCGACTTGGGCCATCTTGGGGCCGTCTTTGGCCGTCTTGGTGGGCTCCTGGCCCTTCTGACGCCGTCAGAAGTCCTTTAGGGGGCCTCTCTGGGCCGACTTGGGGGCTTCTTGGAATGCTCGAGGGCCGTCTCGGAGGCCATCTTGGGCGTCTTAGAGGCCTCCTGGGCCGTCTTGGGGGCCTCTTCGGGCCATCTTGGGAGCCTCTTGGGGCTGGCTTGGGGCCATCTTGGAGGCCTCTTGGGCGATCTTGTGGCGATCTTTGGGGGCTCTTGGGCCGTCTCGGGCCGTCGGAAGGCCGAAAAGAAGCAAATGTCAAAGCCTTCAAACAACTAAGGCCATCTTGAGCGTCTTGGAGGCCATCTTGAGCGTCTTGGAGGCCTCTTGGGCAGTCTTTGAGGCCTCTTGGGGCCGTCTTGGGCCTCTTGGGCGATCTTTGGGGGCACTTGGGCCGTCTCGGGCCGTCGGAAGGCCGACCAAAAAGCAAATGCCACAATCCTTCAAAAACTCAGGGGAAATCACTGATTTTGGCCTCTTCTGGCCGTCCTGGAGGCCCTCTTGGAGGCCTCTTGGGCCGACTTGGGCCAGCTTAGAGCCAACTTCGGCCATCTTGGTGGGCTCCTGGCCCGTCTGACGCCGTCGGAAGCCGTCTTAGGGGCCTCTCTGGGCCGACTTGGGGGCTTCTTGGGGTGCTCCAGGGCCGTCTTAGAGGCCATCTTGGGCGTCTTGGAGGACTCTTGGGTCGTCTTTGTGCCCTTTTGGGGGCCTCTTGGGCAGTCCTGAGGACATCTTGGGGGCCTCTTGGGCGCTCTGTGGGCGATCTGTGGGGGCTTTTGGGCCGTCGTGGGCCATCGGAAGGCCGGAAAGTAGCAAAAGCCAGAATCCTTCAAAAACCCAAGGGCAACCAATGATTTTGGCATCTTCGGGTTCTCGTGGAGGACCTCTTGGAGGCTTTTTGGAGCGTCTTGGATGCCTCTTGGAGGCCTCTGGGGCCGTCTTGTGCCGTCTCGGAGGTTTCTGGTGCGAACTTGGAGGCATCTTGGACTCTCTTGGGCCGTCTTGGAGGCCATCTTGGACCATTTTGCACGAACTTGAGGCCATCTTGGGTCATCTTGGCCATCTTGGACGCCATCTTGGAGCCATCTGGACCAGGAAAAACCTTTGCAACCGGATTTTGGGCACTTTGGGGCCCTTCCAGACCCCGGCGGGACGGGCCGAAGCTCCGGGGAGTCCGCCGCCCCCTGTCGATTCATCACAGGGGTGCCTGGCGTGCTGGACTTCTTACGTTTTTTTTTTTTTTTTTTTTTTTTTTTTTTTTTTTTTTTTTTTTTGTTTCCTAAACGAACTCCCCCTAGCGCTTCGGCCGGTCCCGCCGGGGTCCCGGAAGGCCGCGTAAACCACCTCAGTGTCCACAAAACATCCTCCAAGACGGCTCAAGGTGGCCTCCAATATGGTCACGTTGGCCCAAGATGACCTCCAAGATGGCCCAAGATGGCCTCCAAGACGGCTCAAGAGAGGAGGAGATGCCTCCAAGTCCGCCCAAGAAACCGCCGAGACGGCCCAAGACGGCCCAGGAGGCGCCCAAGAGGCCTCCAAGACGGCCAAAGAGGCCTCCGAGAGGTCCTCCAGGAGGGCCTTGAAGAGGCTAAAATCATAGATTTCCCGAAGGTTTTCAACAGTTTTTTCGTACTTGCTCCTTTTCGGCTTTCCGACGACCCGAGACGACCCAAGACGCCCCCAAGATCGCCCCCAGAGCGCCCAAGAGGCCTCCAAGATGGCCCGATGACGGCCAAGAGGACCCCAAGATGGCCCCAAGAGGGCACAAAACCGACTCAAGATGCCTCCAAGACGCCCAGGATGGCCTCTACGACGGCCCTGGATCACCCCAATAGGACCTCCAGTCGGCCCAGAGAGGCCCCCCAAACGGCTTCCGAAAGCGTCAGACGGGCCAGGAGTCCACCAAGATGTCCGAAGTTGGCTCGAAGCTGGCCCAAGACGGTCCAAGAGGCCCCCAAGAGGGCTTCCAGGAAGGCCAGAAAAGTCCAACAACATGGATTTTCCTTAGGTTTTTCAAGGATTTTGGCATTTGCTTCTGTTCGGCCTTCCGACGGCCCGAGACGGCCCAAGAGCCCCCAAGGATCGCCCACGGAGCGCCCAAGAGGCCTCCAAGATGGCCCCAGAACGGCCCAATAAGCCCCCAAGACGGCCCCAGAGGCCCCCAAGACGGCCCAGGAGGCCCCTAAGACGCCCAAGACGGCCTCCAAGATGGCCCTGGAGCAGTCCAAGAGGGCCCCAAGTCAGCCCATAGAGGCCCCCCAGACGGCTTCCGACGGCGTCAGACGCGCCAGGAGCCCACCAAGACGGCCGAAGATGGCCCTAAGACGCCCAAGACGGCCCAAGAGGCCTCCAAGAGGGCCTCCAGGAAAGCCCGAAAAAGGCCCAAATCATTTATTGCCCATGAGTTTTTGAAGGATCGTGGTATTTGCTTTATTTCGGCCTTCCGACGGCCCGAGTTCCCCCAAAGATCGCCCAAGAGGCCCAATACGGCCCCAAGAGGCTGCCAAGACGGCCCAAGAGGCCTCCAAGACGCTCAAGATGGCCTTCAAGACGGCCCAAGAGCCCTCCAAGACGTCCTCCAAGAAGGCCCGAAAGGGTCAAAATGGCCTCCAGACGGCCAGGATGACCTTCAAGATGCCCACGTGTTCCCAGAAGGCTTTCCAAACCGATTCGGGGAACACATGGTCCGATAGCTTGGCAGGTCTGGCCTCAACGTTCGGCCACATAGGCGCTTCCAAAACGGCAGGGGGCGGCGGTGATTCGCCGTAGGCGTCTTCGATATTCAAAAAGAACCGAAGTCGAAAGAATTCAGCACGCCGGGCACCCTTGTGGCAAGCCAACAGGGGGCGGCGGATCGAAGACGCTTACGGCGAATCACAGCCGCCCCCTTCCTTCTTGGAAGCGCCTGCGTGGCCGAAAGTTGGGTTTGAGCTTGACTAAGCTATCGGGCCACGCGTTCTTCGAGTGGGCTTCGAAAGCCTTCGGGGAACACGGAGTTGGGCGAGCTATCGGACCAGATGGTTTCCGAGCTTTCGGGCCTCCTGTAGGATGTCTTGGAGGGGTCTTGGGCCGTCTTGGAGGCCTCTGGCGGGCTTTTTGGGCAGTCTAAGGCCATTTTCAGGCCACCTGGGGCCGTCTTGGGTGCACCTTGGGGCCATCTTCACCGTCTTGGATGCATTCTTTGCCGTCTTGGAAGCACCTTGGAGGCCATCTTGGCTGTATTGGATGCCGTCTTGGAGGTCATCTTGGCAGTCCTGAGGTATCTTGGAGGCCATCTTCGGCGGGCGTCTTCGAGGCCTCTTGGGCAGTCTTGGGGCCCTCTTGGGGCTGGCTTGGGGGCCTCTTGGACCGTTCTGGAGCCAACTTGGAGGCCTCTGGGACGTTTTTGGGAACTCCTTGGGGCGTCTTCGGTGGTCGGAACACCAAAACGGAGGAACAAACACACGCTTTGAAACACCTAAGGGAAATTCACGATTTTGGCTCCCTCGGGCCTTCCTCGAGCACCTCTTGGACTCCTCTGGAGCCATCTTGCAACCTCTCGGGCCCTTCCCTTGGGCCATCTTGGCCGTCTCAGCGGCCATCTTGGCCGTCTTGGAGGTCATCTTGGCCGTCCTGGAGGCATCTTGGAGGCCATCTTGGCCGTCTTGGAGACCATCTTGATCGTCTTGGAGGCCTCTGGACCCGTCTTGGCGCCCTCTTGGGGCCATCTTGGGGGCCTCTTTGGCCGTCATCGGGCCATCTTGGAGGCCTCTTGGCCGCTCTGGGGGCGATCTTTCGGTCCTCTTGGGTCGTCGTGGGCCATCGGAAGGCCGGAAAGTAGCAAAAGCCAGAATCCTTCAAAAACCCAAGGACAACCAATGATTTTGGCCTCTTCGGGCTCTCGTGGAGGACTTCTTGGAGGCTTTTTGCAGCGTCTTGGATGCCTCTTGGAGGCCTCTGGGGCCGTCTTTGGCCGTCTTCGAGGTTTCTTGTGCGAACTTGGAGGCATCTTGGACTCTCTTGGGCCGTCTTGGAGGCCATCTTGGACCATCTTGGGCGAACTTGGAGGCCATCTTGGGCCATCTTGGCCATCTTGGACGCCATCTTGGAGCCATCTGGAGCAGGAAAAACCTTTGCAACCGGATTTTGAGCAGTCTTTGGGGCCCTTCGGGTTCTTGGCGCAGAGGGTGGTCGAGTGCTTGGCCGACCGCGAGGTCGTGCTCGAGAGATGGCAGGACGGACGGCGCGGACAGAGGCCAAAAGCAGGCGGCAACCGGGGCGTCTGGCAGAAGCCGGGAAAGGCGATCCAAGAAGGACGAGGACGAGCCGAGGACATCACGGTGATGGGCGCCAACGGCCGCGCGGAGTCGGAAGAGGCGGTGGCCAGCCGCATCGCGCGCAAAACTGCGCGAGTTTCCCCCGGGCTAGGATGGGCTGCCGCGAGCGAGTCAGAACGACGGCCAGCTTGGCGAGTGCCGGAGAGACGATCAAACGAAGACCGCCAGAAAAGAATGACGCAAACGCGGCGCGGAGGCAGAAGCATGTCGAGGCCGGGGAGAAGAGGCAGCGGGGGAAAGACATCTTCGCGGCGCGGCGAAGTGGCAACCCACTGACTGGCGGGGCCCCTTGAAGGGGGTGGTTGGAAGTGCGCGCGCTGCGAGCAGACGATCAACGTTGAGACAGGGACCGACTACAGAAAGAGGTGGCCAGGAGAAGTCCGCGGGGGCCCGCGAGCGGAGGCAGGGTGCCGGATTCCTCCTCCTCCTCCTCCTCCTCCTCCTCCTCCTCCTCCTCCTCTCCCCTATCCCCCCCTCCCTCCCAAATTCCTCCCCAATCCCTCCTCCTCCCCTTTCCCAGTGAAGACGCGCGCGCCGACTGTGAGGTGGCTCCGCAGCAGGATGCGCAAGAGAGAGAAGAGGAAGGGGCCTCTCAGAACCAGGCCAGGCTGCCGCTCCATCCTGCGCCAGCTCCGGGCTCGTTTGTGCGCGCAGTCGAAGGCGAGGCGCGCGCGGCCGAGGAGCGAGGACAGCAGCCAGCGGCGCGGGCGAGAGCGAGGAGGCGCTCCGCGGCGAGGGGGAGAGCGCGGCCAGCCGCCAGACACGGAGATGCAGGAAGAGGTCGCGAACCCAAAGAAGAAGGCTCGGGGGCGGAAAAGAGGGGGGTGATGACTAGGGGGGGGTGGATATCATGGCGTGGGCCATGATATTTCCCCAGATTTCATGGCGCCTCTTCTTGGTTCATCACGTCCCTGGCCCGCCCGCTGGGCCGCGCACATGCCGCTGGTCATGATTTGCACCCCCCCCTTCTTGGACACCCCCCTCTGGGCCGCTCCCGAAAGGCAGAGCACGAGAGGGGCGATGGCGAAGCGGCGCGGGCCCCGCGTGCAGCAAGGGGCAAGGGGTTGGCCAGCGGTGCGAAGTCCAGCATGGACGAGCGAAGGGGAGCTCCCCTGTGGCATGGGGCAGGGACGATAGCCGCAAAGCGAAGGCATACAAGGGTAGCGCGCGAGCCCGGACTAGAAGATGGAGGGCGAGGAACAGCCCCCCACGAACACTGCGACCAACAGATCCAGGAAAAGCCAGGACAGAAGAGTGCAGAGAGGCGCAAGGAAAATGTTGCAGAGCGGCAAGGACTACGAGCGCGACAAGGGAAAGAGACGAGAGAGCGAACGAAACCCAACCTCGACCACGAAGAGAAAGGCAGCCAGAGGCGGACTACATTCGAGGCACATATATAGACAAGACAAGCGTGAACCAGAAGGCCAAGGCAGGAGGCATATATCACATGAAGGCAGGCGACCCATGTGATCGAACAGGGGCTCCACGACGCCATGGCCAAATGACACGCGGTCAGGACTATGAGAGCGAAGCGGGGGATGATACAAAAACAACGCGACAGATGGAGCCCCTCTTCCGACTGCTACGAGAGGCAAGCGACATACATTTAGATGATGCAGCGGAGAACCAGAGGGGGTGGTGCAGCCCAAAGCAAGGAACACGAGGAAACGGCGAAGCAGCGACGAAACAAGTAGGACACGCTCCATCCGAAGGCGAAGTGGAGCCTGGACGCCAAACCGTGCGCGGCATACATCAATGCCGAACCACAGGCCAGAGGACACGCGGAAACAGCTGCTGGACAGCGAACGGCTACAGCAAAGACAGCGCACACCCAACGGCAAGCAGAGGTCGGCAACGCCAGACATCGAGCGCCGCGGAGGGCGACAGTGGAGAGCCGCGAGCTCGCCACGAGGGCGCGGGGCCGCGCCTCCCACCGCACCTCTTCGGCGAGAGCACTGAGGCTGCTGAGCGCAGCAAGAATCCCCTCCCCCGCCTCCCCCTCCTCCTCCTCCTCCTCCTCCTCCCTCCTCCTCCTCCTCCTCCTCCGCCCCCCTCCTCCTCCTCCTCTCCTCCTCCTCCTCCTCCTCCTCCGCCTCCTCCTCCTCCTCCTCCCCCGCCTCCTGGTGATCGCGGTCCCTCCTCCTCCGCCGCCGCCTCCTCCTCCTCCTCTTCCTCCTTTTCCTCCCCCTCCTCCCCCTCCTCCTCCTCCTCCTCCTCCTCCTCCTCCTCCTCCTCCTCCTCCTCCTCCTCCTCCTCTTGGAAAACATGGTACGGGCCCTGCTGGTGTTTTTTTCCGGAAAGCGCGCCAGGGTGCAACAGAGTGGTCGTTGCCGTCGCTTCCCTTTTCGATTGCTTCCTGCATCTCTCTCTTGCGCCCTTTTCCCTCCTGGCCGCCCCCCCCCCCTCCCCTCCATGGGCATCGAGCCCCAACTCCCTGGGGGCAAGACTTGCAGCCGCGTGATCCTAGAACTTTGCAGCAGCCCTTGGGCTCCCTGGCATTCCGGGAGGCTTCACGAGGCACCCCCAAAGCCCCCCCTCGAGAAGTCAAATCATGCCTAGTACTTGGATCTTGGATCTCCCCCTTCAGGGGCCGGGCCTCCCTCGTCAGGGGCGTGCGGCGTGCGCCCTGAGGTTCTTTCCGTACCTGTGCGACTTGCCAGACGAGCTGATGCCGCTCGTCGCCAAGGACCCGCGGCAGCTGGGGCCCTGCTGGCATCGCCCCCCTCCCCAGACCCCATCGCGTCGTCATATTGTTTGACGCAGAGATCCCCCTATGTGCACTTCGATTCCTGGCATTTCCGTTCTTGAGTGTCTGAGTGAGAACCGTAGCTTGTGGCGACCGAGTTATCCTTGCAGGCTTCCGATTGGAGTGCCCAAATTGTATGCTTGCTGCGCCAGCGTGCTCTTGGGGTTCTGAAGGGAAAGGGGTCGGGGGTGCCTCAACCAGCATTTCGTCAGACCCGTCCCGTGATTCGGGCGCGAACTGTCACGTGTGACGCCTCCTGGCGGCTCCCCGCTGGGGTGCGCACGTCCCAGGCCTCCTACACCCCGGTGGTCCTGAGGTCCTTGCCAGACAGGAGTCGGGGGTGCCTAACACCAGCGAGACGCTCGAGGCCTTCACACAGTCTACGTGCGAGCGGGCCGTTGCAGCACCCCTTGGCGGTTCCTCGTCGGGGCCCTCGCGTGCCACGCCGGCCACGTGGCGGTGGCCCGGGGTGCCTCTGAAGGGGAGAGGAGTCTGGGCCACGAGCTGCCGGGGGCCTCCCCACAGCCGGGGCGCGAGCTGCGGCGCGAGAGCGCCCGTGGCCTGCCTCCCCCTCGAGGTGCCCCCGAAGCCACGCGTGCTGCATCGCGAGGGGCCCGGAGATGTCAAGCGAGAGGATCCGGGGGCGCCAGAGGATGCCAAGCCGCTTGCGAGTTGCCTGCACGAGCGAGCGGGCACGCGTCCCTTCCCTCGCGGGTGCCTCCGTGGGGTGCGACGCCTGCTGCATCTCGGGGGTGGACAGAACCCCCAACAGTGACACGTCGATTAGTGAATTGTCCGTTTTCGGTTTTCGAGAGGGCGCCGTGGCCGTTATTTTCCAGGCTTGCGCCCGCCAGGTTTGGGCCTCAGGTCGTTTTCACTAAACCACTTTTGCTAAAGGGGGGTCTGTCCATCCCCGAACATCGCGGTGAGAAGGGGGCTCTGAAACCAGAGACGCCTCAGCCACCAAAGAGGCAAAGTTGCTGCTACATCGTGACAGTCTGGGCGCGAAAGGCTACATGTCCTCTCCCCTGGCGACTCCTCCCTGGGGTGATCAAGTGCCACGCGTGCTGCATCGCGATGAGCATGGGGCTGTTGAGAAAACAGAAGTCTCAGCCGCCCCACAGGCAACCGCTTGTGACATCCGCACGCTTTGGGCGCCAACGGGCAAGTTTCCTACCCCATGGCGGCTCTTCCGTGGGGTGCTCAAATGCCACGCGTACTACATCGCGATGGGCATGGGCATCTGAAAATAGGGAAGACGTCTGAGCCTCCTCCCTCCTTCGTTCTTCCTCCTTCCTCCTCCTCCTCCTCCCTCCTCCTCCTCCTCCTCCTCCTTCTTCCTCCTTCCTCCTTCCTCCTTCCTCCTTCCTCCTTCCTCCTTCCTCCTCTTTCCTTCCTCCTTCCTCCTTCCTCCTCCTCCTCCTCCTCCTCCTCCTTCCACCAAACAGGCACACCGTCTGGGAGGTCCCCACTCTGTGGGCGCGGACGGGCGAATGTCTTTCCCCCTGGCGGCTCCCGGGCAGCCAAGGGGGGTAGGCCGCTCGCCCGCTCGAGGCCACTCGTGTCGAGATAGAAGCGCTCGCTTCGCGGTTTGGCGACTCCCCTCCTCCAGGGCAGACTGCGAGGACGTCTCGAGCGAGGCGCTTGCCTCGGCACGAGGCGCTTGCCTCGGCACCTCAGAGATGGGGGGCCGCCAGACGGCTGGACATCCGCCCGCTCGCGGCCAGACCGTGGCGGTGCCTCGAGCGGGGCGGTCGGTTTGCACCTCTCCGAGGCCTGTGCACCCCGAGCCCCACGATCGCGGCGATGTGCAAGGCCGAGAACCGTTCAAACACCGACGCTGACGGTGGGAGGTGCCAGGAACCGAGATGCACGTCCTGTGATCTCCGCGTCGAGCAGGTGGCACACGTGCCCCGGCTCTTGCACGAGGGAGCGACGAGGGAGAGGAGAAGCGTGGGAGCCAGATGCTGGGAGATCAGGGAGGTCGGAGATGGCCGGGGAGGCGAACGATGAGCACGACGACGAAAGTAGGGGGGCTCCGCGCCACAGGGCCAGGTCAGAAGGGCCCGAGGACCACGGCCACGGCCACAAAAACAAGTGGCGCGCCTGCCCTGGCTCTTGCAGCAAGAAGCTGCGAGGGACAGGAGGCTTTCCCTCCAGGAGTTTCCTTCTGTGGCCGGGGGGGGGGAGGACGAACGACGAGCGAACGAACGACGACGACGAAAATAAAGAGGTCCGACCTCTGGAGCACAGCTGTGCAAGAGAATGCAGGGCTCCGAACTCCAGAGCACAGCTGCGCAAGATGCCAGGAAGCCTTGCCTCGGGAGGGGGGACCCAGGGAGGCCAGGGCACGGGGGCCAGGGGATGCCTCGGAGGCCACGACGCTGGGGGGGCGCTGGGGCAGGCCACGGCGGCGCGACGACACGACGACACGGCGCCGAAGATACAGCAAGCAGGAGCCCTGACAGGGGGGGCCCAGGGAGGCCAGGGCATGGGGCCAGGGGAGGCCGCTGAGGCCAGGGCTGTACGCTATACCAGGGAGGCCAGGGAGGCCAGGGTAGGGGCGGGGCGCCAGTGGAGGGCACGCCGGCGCGACAGCGCGGCGACGCGACGAGGAAGATAAAGTAATCCGGGGGGGGGGATCCAGGGGAGGCCAGGGAGGCCAGGGCCAGGGGAGACCACTGAGGCCGGGGTTGCCAGGGAGGCCAGGGAGGCCAGGGCAGGGGGGGCAAGGGCGGCCACGCCGACGCGACGACGCGACGACGCGACGACGAAAACAAGTGGCACGCATGCCCTGGCTCTTGTACGAGGGAGCGCGCCAGGAGAAGCGGGGTTGGGGGTGGCCTGGGCCATGGGGGAGGAGCGTGGGGCTGAGGGGGGCAGGGCCAGGGGGAGGGCCTCTTTGGACGGTACCTGGGAGGCCCCCCCGTCACAGGCCCACCCGAAAGGATCGCCCCCTAAAGGCAGGATTATAAACGGGCTTGAGTATGGATGGCCTGGGAGTGAATCTAACTGTGAATGAGTTGGAGTGTGAATGAGTCTCAGTAGTTTTAGTGCGTCTCTGCCCATGAGCCTGGGGCCTCCTGGGACCTCTTGAAATTTCCTGGGGCTTCCTGGGGCCTCCTGGAGCCTCTTGGGGCCTCTCGGGGCCTCTCGGGGCTTCCTGTTGCCTCCTACGACCTCCTGGGGCCTCGTGTGGCTCCCTGGGGCCTCCAGGAGCCTCCTGGGGCCTCCTGGGGAGGACTCGTGCCCCAGGAGAGGCCAAATCTATAGGAACAGACGTAAGCACTTCGGTTTCGAGCCACAGGAGAGGGGCAAACACGCGTAAAGCACCAAGGACTCGTGCCCCAGGAGAGGCCCAATCTAAAGGAACATACGTGTAACACTTAGAGTGGATACGCAGAAGAAGGGCAATCTATAGGAACACATGTAAGACACCAAAGATTCGTACTTCAGGGGGGGCCCAATCTGTAGGAACAGATGCAACACTTGGTATTGGAGCCACTCCTGTGGCCTTCTGAGGCCTCCTGCTCCTGGGGCCTCGTGGGGGCTCCTAAGGCCTTCCTGGGACTCCTGGTGCCTACTGGCGCTTCCTGCGCCATCCTGTGGCCTCCTGTGGCCCATGGGGCCTCCTGGTGCTTCCTGCGACCTCCTGGAGGCTCTTGGGGCCTCCTGGGGCCTCCTGTGGCCTCCAGGGGTTTCCTGTGGCCTCCAGGAGCCTCCCGATGCCTCCTGGGACCTCCTGTAGCCTCCTGGGAACTCCTGGAGCCTGCTGGAGCCTTCTGTGGCGTCCTGAGGAGGATACGTGCCCACGAGTCTGGCTAGCAACACATGCAAACCGTTCGAGACATCCCTGGGCCACCGGGGGTGCGAGAACTAGCGCCTCGCTCGAGACATCCTCCAAGTCTGCTCCGAAAGCGGAAGATGTTGAGCTGGCAAGCAGGCAAACCGCTCGAGTCATCCCCGCCATGTTGGTGCGAACGGAGGAGTGCAATACCCTTGCCTGCCCCCCTTGGGTGCGAAAACCAGCGCCTCGCTCGAGACATCCTCAACATCTGCTCCGAAAGCGGATGATGTCGAGTGGTGAAACAGGCAAGCCGCTCGAGACATCCCCGCCATGTTGGCGCGAACGGATGAGTACAATACTCCCTGGCGGCTCTCCTTTGGGGGTGCTGAAACCCGCGCCTCGCTCGAGACATCCTCAGAATT